TCTGTGAGGGAACACTGGTCTGTAACATAACACTGTGGTCTGTGAGAGAGTAATGTGGTCTGTGAGAGAACACTGTGGTCTGAGAGAGAACACTGTGGACTGTGAGAGAACAATATGGTCTGTGAGGGAACACTGTGGTCTATGAGAGAAGACTGGGGTCTGTGAGAGAACACTGTGGTCTGTGAGGGAACACTGTGGTCTGTGAGGGAACACTGTGGTCTGCGAGAGAGCAATGTAGTCTGTGAGAGAACACTGTAGTCTGTGAGAGAACACTGTGGTCTGTGAGAGAACACTGTGGTCTGTGAGAGAACACTGTGGTCTGTGAGTAAACACTGTGGTCTGTGAGAGAAGTGTGGTTCGCGAGAGAACACTGTGGTCTGTGAGAGAGCACTGTGGTCTGTGAGAGAACACTGTGGTCTGTAAGAGAACAGTGTGGTCTCTAAGAAAGCAGTGTGGTCTGTGAGAGAACAGTGTGGTCTGTGAGAGAACAGTGTGGTCTGTGAGAGAACAATGTGGTCTGTGAGAGAACACTGTGGTCTGTGAAAGAACACTGTGGTCTGTGAGAGAACAGTGTGTTCTGTGAGAGAACAGTGTGGTCTGTGAGGGAACACTGGTCTGTAACATAACACTGTGGTCTGTGAGAGAGTAATGTGGTCTGTGAGAGAACACTGTGGTCTGAGAGAGAGCACTGTGGACTGTGAGAGAACAATATGGTCTGTGAGAGAAGACTGGGGTCTGTGAGAGAACACTGGGGTCTGTGAGAGAACACTGTGGTCTGTGAGGGAACACTGTGGTCTGTGAGAGAGCAATGTAGTCTGTGAGAGAACACTGTGGTCTGTGAGAGAACACTGTGGTCTGTGAGAGAACACTGTGGTCTATGAGTAAACACTGTGGTCTGTGAGAGAAGTGTGGTCTGCGAGAGAACACTGTGGTTTGTGTGAGAACATTGTGGTCTGTGAGAGAACACTGTGGTCTATGAGAGAACAATGGGGTCTGTGAGAGAGCACTGTGGTCTGTGAGAGAACACTGTGGTCTGTAAGAGAACAGTGTGGTCTCTAAGAAAGCAGTGTGGTCTGGGAGAGAACAGTGTGGTCTGTGAGAGAACAGTGTGGTCTGTGAGAGAACAATGTGGTCTGTGAGAGAACACTGTGGTCTGTGAGAGAACACTCTGGTCTGTGAAAGAACACTGTGGTCTGTGAGAGAACAGTGTGGTCTGTGAGAGAACAGTGTGGTCTGTGAGAGAACAATGTGGTCTGTGAGAGAGCACTGTGGTCTGTGAGAGAACACTGTTGTCAGTGAGAGAACACTGTAGTCTGTGAGAGAACAATGTGGTATGTAAGAAAACACTTTGGTCTGTGAGAGAACACTGTGGTCTGTGAGAGAACACTCTGGTCTGTGTGGGAACAATATGGTCTATGAGAGAACAATTTGATCTATGAGAGAACACTGTGGCCTGTGAGAAAAATCTGTGGTCTGTGAGAGAACATTGTGATCTGTGAGAGAACACTCTGGTCTGTGTGGGAACACTGAGATCTGTGTGAACACTGTGGTCTGTGAGAGAACACTGTGGTCTGTGAGAGAACAATGTCGTCTGTGAGAGAACAGTGTGGTCTTTGAGAGAACATTGTGGTCTATAAGAGAACACTGTGGTCTGTGAGAGAACACTGTGGTTTGAGAACACTGTAGTCTGTGAGAGAACACTGTGGTCTGTGAGAGAACACTCTGGTCTGTGACAGAACACCGTGGTCTGTGAGAGAACAATGTGATCTGTGAGAGAACACCGTGGTCTGTGAGAGAACACTGTGGTCTGTGTGAGAACACTGTGGTCTGTGTGAGAACATTGTGGTCTGTGAGAGAACACTGTGGTGTATGAGAGGATACTGGGGTCTGTGAGAGAATAATGTGGTCAGTGACAGAACATTAGTCTGTGAAAGATCATTGTGGTCTGTAACATAACACTGGTCTGTGAGAGAACACTGTGGTCTGTGAGACAACACTGTGGTCTGTGAGAGAACACTGTGGTCTGTGAGAGAACACTGTGGTCTGTAAGAGAACACTGTGGTCTCTGAGAGAGCACTGTGGTCTGTGAGAGAACAATGCGGTTTATGAGAGAACAGTGTGATCTGTGACAGAACACTGTGTGGTCTGTGAGGAAACACTGGGGTCTGTGAGAGAACAATGTTGTCTGTGAGGGAACACTGGTCTGTAACATAACACTGTGGTCTGTGAGAGAGTAATGTGGTCTGTGAGAGAACACTGTGGTCTGAGAGAGAACACTGTGGACTGTGAGAGAACAATATGGTCTGTGAGAGAACACTGTGGTCTATGAGAGAAGACTGGGGTCTGTGAGAGAACACTGGGGTCTGTGAGAGAACACTGTGGTCTGTGAGGGAACACTTTGGTCTGTGAGAGAGCAATGTAGTCTGTGAGAGAACACTGTGGTCTGTGAGAGAACACTGTGGTCTGTGAGAGAACACTGTGGTCTGTGAGTAAACACTGTGGTCTGTGAGAGAAGTGTGGTCCGCGAGAGAACACTGTGGTTTGTGAGAGAACATTGTGGTCTGTGAGAGAACACTGTGGTCTGTGAGAGAACACTGTGGTCTGTGAGAGAGCACTGTGGTCTGTGAGAGAATACTGTGGTCTGTAAGAGAACAGTGTGGTCTCTAAGAAAGCAGTGTGGTCTGTGAGAGAACAGTGTGGTCTGTGAGAGAACAGTGTGGTCTGTGAGAGAACAATGTGGTCTGTGAGAGAACACTGTGGTCTGTGAAAGAACACTGTGGTCTGTGAGAGAACAGTGTGTTCTGTGAGGGAACAGTGTGGTCTGTGAGAGAACAAGGCGGTCTATGAGAGAACAGTGTGATCTGTGACAGAACACTGTGTGGTCTATAAGGAAACACTGGGGTCTGTGAGAGAACAATGTGGTCTGTGAGGGAACACTGGTCTGTAACATAACACTGTGGTCTGTGAGAGAGTAATGTGGTCTGTGAGAGAACACTGTGGTCTGAGAGAGAGCACTGTGGACTGTGAGAGAACAATATGGTCTGTGAGAGAACACTGTGGTCTATGAGAGAAGACTGGGGTCTGTGAGAGAAAATTGGGGTCTGTGAGAGAACACTGTGGTCTGTGAGGGAACACTGTGGTCTGTGAGAGAGCAATGTAGTCTGTGAGAGAACACTGTGGTCTGTGAGAGAACACTGTGGTCTGTGAGAGAACACTGTGGTCTGTGAGTAAACACTGTGGTCTGTGAGAGAAGTGTGGTCTGCGAGAGAACACTGTGGTTTGTGAGAGAACATTGTGGTCTGTGAGAGAACACTGTGGTCTATGAGAGAACAATGGGGTCTGTGAGAGAGCACTGTGGTCTGTGAGAGAACACTGTGGTCTGTAAGAGAACAGTGTGGTCTCTAAGAAAGCAGTGTGGTCTGGGAGAGAACAGTGTGGTCTGTGAGAGAACAGTGTGGTCTGTGAGAGAACAGTGTGGTCTGTGAGAGAACACTGTGGTCTGTGAAAGAATACTGTGGTCTGTGAGAGAACAGTGTGGTCTGTGAGAGAGCAGTGTGGTCTGTGAGAGAACAATGTGGTCTGTGAGAGAGCACTGTGGTCTGTGAGAGAACACTGTTGTCAGTGAGAGAACACTGTAGTCTGTGAGAGAACAATGTGGTATGTAAGAGAACACTTTGGTCTGTGAGATAACACTTTGGTCTGTGAGAGAACACTGTGGTCTGTGAGAAAAGACTGATCTGTGAGAGAACACTGTGGTCTGTGAGAGAACACTGTGGTCTGTGAGAGAACACCGTGGTCTATGAGAGAACAGTGTGATCTGTGAGAGAACACTGTGGTCTGTGAGAGAACACTGTGGTGTATGAGAGAACACTGGGGTCTGTGAGAGAACAATGTGGTCAGTGACGGAACACTGGTCTGTGAGAGAACATTGTGGTCTGTAACTTAACACTGTGGTCTGTGAGAGAGTAATGGTGTTCTGTGAGACAACACTGTGGTCTGTGAGAGAACCTTGTGGTCTGTGAGAAAACACTGTGGTCTGTGAGAGAACACTGTGGTCTGTGAGAGAACACTGTGGTCTGTGAGAGAGCACTGTGGTCTGTGAGAGAACACTGTGGTCTGTGAAAGAACACTGGTTTGTGAGAGAACACTGTGGTCTGTAAGAGAACACTGTGGTCTGTGAGAGAAAACTGTGGTTTGTGAGAGAACAATGTGGTCTATGAGAGAACAGGGTGATCTGTGAAAGAACATTTTGGTCTGTGAGAGAACACTGTGGTCTCTAAGATAACACTGTGGTCTCTCAGATAACACTGTGGTCTCTCAGATTACACTGTGGTCTCTCAGATAACACTGTCGTATCTAAGATAACACTGTGGTCTCTCAGATAACACTGTGGTCTCTTAGATAACACTGTGGTCTCTCAGATAACATTGTGGTTTCTCAGATAACACTGTGGTCTCTTAGATAACACTGTGGTCTCTCAGATAACATTGTGGTTTCTCAGATAACAATGTGGTCTCTCAGATAACACTGAGGTCTCTAAGATAACACTGTGGTCTTTCAGATAACACTGTGCTTTCTCAGATAACACTGTGGTCTCAGAGATAACACTGTGGTCTCTCAGATAACACTGTGGTCTCTCAGATAACACTGTGGTCTCAGAGATAACACTGTGGTCTCTCAGATAACACTGTGGTCTCTCAGATAACACTGTGGTCTCTCAGATAACACTGTGGTCTCTCAGATAACACTGTGGTCTCTCAGATAACACTGTGGTCTCTCAGATAACACTGTGGTCTCTCAGATAACACTGTGGTCTCTCAGATAACACTGTGGTCTCAGAGATAACACTGTTGTCTCTCAGATAACACTATGGTCTCTAAGATAACACTGTGGTCTCTAAGATAACACTATGGTCTCAGAGATAACATTCCCAGGTGTGAGTGTCCTAGAACCTTCCCATATATTGTTTTACAATATTAAAACATTGTTATTATTGGCAGGACGAGTCTTACATTGGACCAGCTGTTGACATCTGGGCACTGGGAGTCTTACTCTACTTCATCCTTACTGCTGACATGCCCTTCAAGGTGGGTTATTACCCTTCATGGTGGGTTATTGGACCTTCAAGGTGGGTTATTACCGTTCATGGTGGGTTATTGGACCTTCAAGGTGGGTTATTACCGTTCATGGTGGGTTATTGGACCTTCAAGGTGGGTTATTGGACCTTCAAGGTGGGTTATTACCCTTCATGTTGGGTTATTGGACCTTCAAGGTGGGTTATTACCGTTCATGGTGGGTTATTGGACCTTCAAGGTGGGTTATTACCCTTCATGGTGGGTTATTGGACCTTCAAGGTGGGTTATTACCGTTCATGGTGGGTTATTGGACCTTCAAGGTGGGTTATTGGACCTTCAAGGTGGGTTATTACCCTTCATGTTGGGTTATTGGACCTTCAAGGTGGGTTATTACCCTTCAAGGTGGGTTATTACCCTTCATGGTGGGTTATTACCCTTCATGGTGGGTTATTACCCTTCATGGTGGGTTATTACCCTTCATGGTGAGTTATTACCCTTCATGGTGGGTTATTACCCTTCATGGTGGGTTATTACCCTTCATGGTGGGTTATTACCCTTCATGGTGGGTTATTACCCTTCATGGTGGGTTATTACCCTTCATGGTGGGTTATTACCCTTCATGGTGGGTTATTACCCTTCATGGTGGGTTATTACCCTTCATGGTGGGTTATTACCCTTCATGGTGGGTTATTACCCTTCATGGTGGGTTATTACCCTTCATGGTGGGTTATTACCCTTCATGGTGGGTTATTGGACCTTCAAGGTGGGTTATTACCCTTCATGGTGGGTTAATTACCCTTCATGGTGGGTTATACCCTTCATGTTGGGTTATTACCCTTCATGGTGGGTTATTACCCTTCATGGTGGGTTATTACCCTTCATGGTGGGTTATTACCCTTCATGGTGGGTTATTACCCTTCATGGTGGGTTATTACCCTTCATGGTGGGTTATTACCCTTCATGGTGGGTTATTACCCTTCATGGTGGGTTATTACCCTTCATGGTGGGTTATTACCCTTCATGGTGGGTTATTGGACCTTCAAGGTGGGTTATTACCCTTCATGGGGGGTTATTGGACCTTCAAGGTGGGTTATTACCCTTCATGGTGGGTTATTACCCTTCATGGTGGGTTATTACCCTTCATGTTGGGTTATTACCCTTCATGGTGGGTTATTACCCTTCATGGTGGGTTATTACCCTTCATGGTGGGTTATTACCCTTCATGGTGGGTTATTACCCTCATGGTGAGTTATTACCCTTCATGGTGGGTTATTACCCTTCATGGTGGGTTATTACCCTTCATGGTGGGTTATTACCCTTCATGGTGGGTTATTTAACCTTCATGGTGGGTTATTACCCTTCATGGTGGGTTATTACCCTTCATGGTGGGTTATTACCCTTCATGGTGGGTTATTACCCTTCATGGTGAGTTATTACCCTTCATGGTGGGTTATTACCCTTCATGGTGGGTTATTACCCTTCATGGTGGGTTATTACCCTTCATGGTGGGTTATTATCCTTCATGGTGGGTTATTACCCTTCATGGTGGGTTATTACCCTTCATGGTGAGTTATTACCCTTCATGGTGGGTTATTACCCTTCATGGTGGGTTATTACCCTTCATGGTGGGTTATTACCCTTCATGGTGGGTTATTGGACATTCAAGGTGGGTTATTACCCTTCATGGTGGGTTATTGGACCTTCAAGGTGGGTTATTGGACCTTCAAGGTGGGTTATTACCCTTCATGTTGGGTTATTGGACCTTCAAGGTGGGTTATTACCCTTCAAGGTGGGTTATTACCCTTCATGGTGGGTTATTACCCTTCATGGTGGGTTATTACCCTTCATGGTGGGTTATTACCCTTCATGGTGGGTTATTACCCTTCATGGTGGGTTATTACCCTTCATGGTGGGTTATTACCCTTCATGGTGGGTTATTACCCTTCATGGTGGGTTATTACCCTTCATGGTGGGTTATTACCCTTCATGGTGGGTTATTACCCTTCATGGTGGGTTATTACCCTTCATGGTGGGTTATTACCCTTCATGGTGGGTTATTACCCTTCATGGTGGGTTATTACCCTTCATGGTGGGTTATTGGACCTTCAAGGTGGGTTATTACCCTTCATGGTGGGTTATTACCCTTCATGGTGGGTTATTACCCTTCATGTTGGGTTATTACCCTTCATGGTGGGTTATTACCCTTCATGGTGGGTTATTACCCTTCATGGTGGGTTATTACCCTTCATGGTGGGTTATTACCCTTCATGGTGGGTTATTACCCTTCATGGTGGGTTATTACCCTTCATGGTGGGTTATTACCCTTCATGGTGGGTTATTGGACCTTCAAGGTGGGTTATTACCCTTCATGGTGGGTTATTGGACCTTCAAGGTGGGTTATTACCCTTCATGGTGGGTTATTACCCTTCATGGTGGGTTATTACCCTTCATGTTGGGTTATTACCCTTCATGGTGGGTTATTACCCTTCATGGTGGGTTATTACCCTTCATGGTGGGTTATTACCCTTCATGGTGGGTTATTACCCTTCATGGTGAGTTATTACCCTTCATGGTGGGTTATTACCCTTCATGGTGGGTTATTACCCTTCATGGTGGGTTATTACCCTTCATGGTGGGTTATTACCCTTCATGGTGGGTTATTACCCTTCATGGTGGGTTATTACCCTTCATGGTGGGTTATTACCCTTCATGGTGGTTTATTACCCTTCATGGTGAGTTATTAACCCCTTTATGGTGGTTATTACCCTTCATGGTGGGTTTTTTACCCTTCATGGTGGGTTATACCCTTCATGGTGGGTTATTACCCTTCATGGTGGGTTATTACCCTTCATGGTGGGTTATTACCCTTCATGGTGAGTTATTACCCTTCATGGTGGGTTATTACCCTTCATGGTGGGTTATTACCCTTCATGGTGGGTTATTACCCTTCATGGTGGGTTATTGGACCTTCAAGGTGGGTTATTACCCTTCATGGTGGGTTATTACCCTTCATGGTGGGTTATTACCCTTCATGGTGAGTTATTACCCTTCATGGTGGGTTATTACCCTTCATGGTGGGTTATTGGACCTTCAAGGTGGTTATTACCCTTCATGGTGGGTTATTACCCTTCATGGTGGGTTATTACCCTTCATGGTGGGTTATTACCCTTCATGGTGGGTTATTACCCTTCATGGTGGGTTATTACCCTTCATGGTGGGTTATTGGACCTTCAGGGTGGGTTATTACCCTTCATGGTGGGTTATTACCCTTCATGGTGGGTTATTGGACCTTCAAGGTGGGTTATTACCCTTCATGGTGGGTTATTACCCTTCATGGTGGGTTATTGGACCTTCAAGGTGGGTTATTACCCTTCATGGTGGGTTATTACCCTTCATGGTGGGTTATTACCCTTCATGGTGAGTTATTACCCTTCATGGTGAGTTATTACCCTTCATGGTGAGTTATTACCCTTCATGGTGATGTTATTACCCTTCATGGTGGGTTATTACCCTTCATGGTGAGTTATTACCCTTCATGGTGGGTTATTACCCTTCATGGTGAGTTATTACCCTTCATGGTGGGTTATTACCCTTCATGGTGAGTTATTACCCTTCATGGTGGGTTATTACCCTTCATGGTGAGTTATTACCCTTCATGGGGGGTTATTACCCTTCATGGTGAGTTATTACCCTTCATGGTGGGTTATTACCCTTCATGGTGAGTTATTACCCTTCATGGTGGGTTATTACCCTTCATGGTGAGTTATTACCCTTCATGGTGGGTTATTACCCTTCATGGTGAGTTATTACCCTTCATGGTGGGTTATTACCCTTCATGGTGAGTTATTACCCTTCATGGTGAGTTATTACCCTTCATGGTGAGTTATTACCCTTCATGGTGAGTTATTACCCTTCATGGTGAGTTATTACCCTTCATGGTGGGTTATTACCCTTCATGGTGAGTTATTACCCTTCATGGTGGGTTATTACCCTTCATGGTGAGTTATTACCCTTCATGGTGAGTTATTACCCCTTCATGGTGAGTTATTACCCTTCATGGTGGGTTATTACCCTTCATGGTGAGTTATTACCCTTCATGGTGGGTTATTACCCTTCATGGTGAGTTATTACCCTTCATGGTGGGTTATTACCCTTCATGGTGAGTTATTACCCTTCATGGTGAGTTATTACCCTTCATGGTGAGTTATTACCCTTCATGGTGGGTTATTACCCTTCATGGTGAGTTATTACCCTTCATGGTGGTTATTACCCTTCATGGTGAGTTATTACCTTCATGGTGGGTTATTACCCTTCATGGTGAGTTATTACCCTTCATGGTGAGTTATTACCCTTCATGTGAGTTATTACCCTTCATGGTGGTTATTACCCTTCATGGTGAGTTATTACCCTTCATGGTGGGTTATTACCCTTCATGGTGAGTTATTACCCTTCATGGTGAGTTATTACCCTTCATGGTGGGTTATTACCCTTCATGGTGAGTTATTACCCTTCATGGTGGGTTATTACCCTTCATGGTGAGTTATTACCCTTCATGGTGAGTTATTACCCTTCATGTGAGTTATTACCCTTCATGGTGGGTTATTACCCTTCATGGTGAGTTATTACCCTTCATGGTGGGTTATTACCCTTCATGGTGAGTTATTACCCTTCATGGTGAGTTATTACCCTTCATGGTGGGTTATTACCCTTCATGGTGAGTTATTACCCTTCATGGTGGGTTATTACCCTTCATGGTGAGTTATTACCCTTCATGGTGAGTTATTACCCTTCATGGTGGGTTATTACCCTTCATGGTGGGTTATTACCCTTCATGGTGGGTTATTACCCTTCATGGTGAGTTATTACCCTTCATGGTGGGTTATTACCCTTCAGGTGGGTTATTACCCTTCATGGTGGGTTATTACCCTTCATGGTGAGTTATTACCCTTCATGGTGGGTTATTACCCTTCATGGTGGGTTATTACCCTTCATGGTGAGTTATTACCCTTCAT